AGGTCAATGAGTCTTAAAGTAGAATTTCTCAATAACAGATAATGCAAATTGTTTATTGTGAAACAATAACTATTAAAACAATCATTAATAATTTCATTCTTTCCAAAGTTAGGATATATTTTTAATTGAATTTAAATTGCAGAATTAAATTAAAGGACAATGAAGATTTCCACCGAGAAATTTTGTATTCAATCGTCATTTGATTCGCAACAAATAATTATATGAACCTTAAAGTGGAATTTCTCAATAACAGATAATGCAAATTGTTTATTGTGAAACAATTTAAAGATTTCAATCATTAATATCGTAATACAAGTAGATTCACAACAAATTATTACTTGAGCAGTGGAATTTCTCAATAACAAATGTTTATTGTGAAACAATAACTATTAAAAACATTTTCATTGATAATTTCATTGATAATTTCATTGATAATTTAATTTAGCACTTAATTAAATTTAAATTGCCGAATTAAATTAAAGATTTCCATCACTAGTATCGTAATACAAGTAGAATAGTAACGTAAACAAGTAGAATAGTAACGTAAATAAAACAATCTATTGAACATATTTTCTCATTTGATACGATTTTGAACCCGATTTAGATGAATGATATTATAAAATCAAATTTATTTCCACCCTTGTAATAATATAATACAGGGCCTGGATTTACTTCTTCAAATAAAAAAAATTATTGATATCTTTTTTTGAATAAAATTTATAATTATATATTCAATAATATATGATAATAAAAAAATTTCGGCATTATCAGAACGATAGTTGTCATTGATTTATCGCTTTTTAGTAAAATTATAGTCATGTTTCGCATGATTCGAGAACCATGCACAAGTTAATTGAGGAAATCCATTCAAAATATGTTGAACTGAACTGAATTGATTGCTTTGTCCGGGCGTAAACATCTAACTATCAAATGTCTCTTAAAAGAAAAATTACTCCTTGTGCATATGTTAAAAGTGGTTTAATTATTTTTTTTTTGAACAATGTTTACATAAATATGGTAATTATCAATCGATATTGCATGGAACACCTCCAAAGGAACACAAGGATTCATTAAAAAAATATAAAAAGAGTGCTTTTTTCTTCCCTCCAATCCGTCGAAAAACTTCTTTTCTTAATACAAAAAAAAATAATAATTCGCTTTTCGACTTTTTTACGACTTTTTTTACGACTCTAATATAATAAAAATGAACTCGAAATTTATCTCTTTTGCTTTAAGCATCTTTATTCTCTCAATCTATACCTTATCAGTTTCGGCAGTTGCTCATCCTAAAATTTATAAAAATTCAAACGAACTCTTTAAACGAACTTATGAAAAAAATGATACTTGTCCTTGTACTGCTGCATCATCTTCATTCTGCGGTCCTGTAGTTTGGGGAGAAGTCGTCTACGCCCAAGACGAATGTGGAAAAACCATTGCAACTGGTATCTTTAGCGACGGGCTTGTTGATCCTGAAAAGAATTGTTATGATTACCTTATTGTCGATAAATGCGGCAAAGTTCTCTATAATTTGACAAAAGCAATAAGTCCCAAATATCGAAAAAATGGAACATGGCCATTTTCATCAGGAAGACTTTCCGATCTGAATTTAAACTGTGACGAGAATGGAGTCCTTCTTGCTTCTTGTGATAATTGTACCGATACTGATAAACATCATAAACGACAAAATACACAAGAAGGATCGTCATTACAAATTCAACAAAATGGTCAGGATTTTGCTGCTGCGGATATTAACACAATATAAAACAAATTAGCGTTTCTGATAATTTTTTTTTACAAACTTAAATTTGTTGAAAAAAAACCAATTTTACGTTATTACAATTATTGCTTTTAGTTATTACAATATTAGTTATTACTCTTTTCCAAGTACAGATGAGCCCCTCGAAATTATTTTCATAATAAAAATAATATCAAGAAACATATAACAATAATTAGTAGCTTTGTATTTATATGTATATATTCAATTTATTATTATTCCGTATATGTATAATTAAAAATATAACTTTATTACCATACCATTTGTACAATTCAAAAGTGGTATTGAAAGTTTAATTAATAAAAGAAGAAAAATTTTAATTGCATATACTGTTTCTTGTAATAATCATCATTTTTTTATTCTTGTATGAGAATTCATATATGTAAATAAATTTGTAAATTTATTTATTTTATTGCAAGTATCTTTAAAAAGGTAGTTTATATTAATTAACATTGATTTATGATTATTAAATTAATAATGCATTTTATTTTGTACATTTTGTGAAAATGATTTCTACTGAGCATTCAATTGTATAATGACTCCATGACTTCTTTGAAGTTAGAGCTTGCTCTTGTTAGAGTTTACATTATTTAATACTCTGAATAAAGTCAATTAATTTTGCTTTTGATCAAGTGTTTATTAATTTGAAGTAAGAGGATTTTTAGTCATCTGGAATTAAATAAAAACATTCTACAACACTATATGAATACCATTCATATAGTATTCTTAGAATGGTATTAATATACTAGAACATAATGTTCTAATGCATTATTTGAATGTTTTGTACTTATAAAATACTAAAATACAGTGTTTTAGTATATTATTTAAGTGTTTTGTACTTATAGCATACTAGAATGCAATGTTCTAATGTATTATTTGAACATTTTGTACTTGTAGTATACTAGAACACAATGTTTAATGTATTATTTGAATATTCCATACTTATAACATACTAAAATGTCTCTATAAAATTCCTGATATAAAGAGAACTAAAGGGTAAAAAAAGAAAAGCTTCATATGTTATATAATCAATTACAACAATAAAAACTTCTATTTTGAGATAGTACAGATTTGGTCTGTTGTCATGTACAGACTTTTTTAGGAAATGTCTAAAGTTTTGTTCAATAATGTGATTATTTGATTGGCAACAGATCCGAATGATGACTTATAATCAAATAAAATCATGAGATGTAACAATAATATATTTCCAAGTTCTCATTACAAATAAAAACAAAACAAAACAAGTGAAATGAATGAATTAGTTTAGTATTTTTTTTTTTACTGTAGAAAGTGAGAAGGATAGTGTGACATCTTAAATAATTATTTTTATCTTTTATTTATTTTTATCTTCTTTATTTGTATTATTTATAAATATAGTTAATTTTGTAAATCAGTGGTACAAATTAGAAGTGCTATATTTAAGAATTATCATTGTTAATTTTACTCAGGTATATACCTAGGTATGATACCTAGGAAAATATTCAGGTAGGATACCTGAGGATAGATAATGAAATTGCCTTTGATAATATTATTTGTATCACTTGATAAAGAATCAATTTAGTGTAGAAGATAGTATAGTTTGTCTGTGGCACAAAGGGTGCCAAAAGGATATAAATATAGGTCTCTTTAGCTTTGATTTTTCATAGATCAGTTCAGTTCAGTTCAGTTCCAGATCAAGTTTAATAGTTCAAGTTTAAGTTCCTTAGTTATTTAGTTCATAATTCTTTGATTTATTTTTTTAATAAATATTATTTCTTTTATCATTTTTATATACTTATCTTTTATCATTTATTATCATATATTTTATCCATTTCTTATATTTCTTTATATTTATTTTAATAAAATTAATATTAAAATAAAGTCTTTATATAATCTATTGACTTTGAATCTTTTACACATATATCTTGCTAAATTACAAACTAACTTGATATTGTAAAAATCCTGTTACAAAAAAAAATTTACTCCTAAGTTGATCCTTTTTCCTGACTCTGTAATTTGCTATAATTGATCAAATAGGATCATTGGAAATAACATGATAATTACATAACCTTTTGTTAGTTTTTGTTGAAGAAGATTCTTTATCCTTTAAAACATTGTCACATTGAACATATGACAAATTGGTATTTCTTGTAAGGTTGTGAAAATTTATTAATTTAGTTTAACTTATTTTTATTTATCTTTATTTCCTTTTATTTTTATTAGTTTATATTTTTATTTATGATTGAATTAGAAGAATTGAATAATATTATTTTAGAATTAACTGAAATTTATTATCAGAAAATAAAATACTTAGTTGATCAAACCCCTATTAATCAAGATCCAGTTTGGAAATTAACTGATCTCAAGGAATTATGTAAAATTAAAGAACAATTAAATTTAGTTTTTAAAATTAGAGATAATTGTGTACAAGTTTTGAAAGATTTAGAATTTCTTAAAAGTTATTCTTTCCAATAGTATTAGTTATTATTTTCTTTAGTAATATTTTATATTTTTACTTTTATTTTTATATTTATATTTTTATTCCTTATTAGTATTAGTATAATTATAATATTTAACAAATTATTACATATATTTATTATTACCTCTTTATTACTTAACAACATGAATACCCAACAAGCTATTGCAATTGTAAATGCTCTTCAAGATTTAACTTATCAAATGGAAATTAGAAATACTGTAACTATGTCTCACTTTAAAGAAGAAAAACAAGATCCAATCAAATGGTTTTGAAGAATTTGAAAGAAATTCTCAAGTAAATGAATATAATAACAATTACAAATTACATGTAGTTGGTGATATCTATTAAATAAAACTAGAACCTGATACAAATTACAAGAAGCTAACATGGGAATCCAATTTCAATAGGTTGAACTATAGTTTTGACTCAATACAGTATCAGAAGTATCAATAGTTATAGTAAAAGGTTTGGTTTGATCTGAAATAAGTAATACTAAGGTCAAGATAATTTTCCTTTGATTTATCAAAAACTTCTTGTTGATTTGATTTCCATTTATATAGAATATTTTTTTGTAATAAAGTTTTTAAAGGAGAAGCAATAGTAAAAAGTTTTTAACAAATTTTCTATAATATGAAACAAGTTCCAAAAATAATTTAAATTCTATTAGATTGATAGACTTAATCATTTTTTTATTGTTTCTACTTTTCATTTATCAACAGAAATTCCTTCTCCAGATATATAATAATCAAGATATTCAACCTTATTCTTTAATAATTCACATTTTTTTAATTTTACGTATAGTTTTTATTTTTTAAGTTTGAATAATACTTTATATAAATATTCCAAATATTCTACTTTAGTTTTACTGTATATAAAAATATCATCAAGATATATAATTACATATTTATCAAGATATTCATGAAAAATGTTATTCATAAGGATCATAAATATTGTAGAAACATTTGTTAATCTGAAAAGTAGTATCAAAAATTCATAATGATCATAACAAGTTCAAAATACAGTTTTATGAACATCCTCCTTTTTTATCTAATTTGATGATATCTTAAATATAAATCCAATTTAAAGAAATATTTAGCACCAACAAAACAATTTAATAAATCTTCAATTTGAGATAATAGATAATGATTCTTAATAATTATTTTATTTAAAGTATAATAATTTACATAAAGACACAAAGTTTTTTTTTTGTGAACAAAAAGAATAAGAGTGTCAAAAGGAGAAACAGAAGGTTTAATAATCCTTTTTGTAAAAGATCAGAGAGTTAAATTTTTAATTTCTTTGTTTTATAATCTGATAATTAATAAATAGGACAAGATGAAAGTTCAGCACTAGGAATAAGATCAATTGCATAGTTCAATCTTCTTTTTGAAAATAAAATTCAATATTTAATTTATATTTTTCAACAAAAGATTTGTTACAAAATTACATGTAGCACCACTATTCAATAAAATTCAAATTGCTTTTTCTTTTCTGTTCCATTAAATCATAATAATTTTTCAGAGTTTTCTTCAATATTAGTTAAATATATCAATTCTTCTAAATTATTATTAGAAAATTCTTGTTTAATGTTTTTCAAAAATCCTTTTTTCATATATATTATTTTGTTATATAATCCAATTTGTTACAATTAAAACATTTTACCTTGTTTTGAAAGTTAGAGTTAGAATAGTGATTATTATTAAAATAATTATTATTATTATAATTGTTATTATTTTCCATCTTATTTCTTTTTAATTAATTAAAATTTTGATATTTATTTCATTAATAATTTGTTTTTCTTCAAACATCTATTATATCTAAATTCATATCTACAACTCCACTGGTATTATTCCATCTTGAATAATTAATTTGAGAAATAAAGTTTGATTTCTTGAATGTAGGAACTCTAAAGATTATGACATTATAGTTAGTCACATATTTAATTATATCAACAAGAGTAGTATGAGCTTTATACATCACTTTCTTCTTTCTAACTGGTTCTAATCTTTCTATATATCTATCTATTTTGTCAACTTCATGTATATTTGATATTTGTTCAACAATATTTTGAAAATTAACTATATAATCTTGTACTAATCTAGTTTATTTTAATTTTCTTAATTGCTGACATAATAGTTGTTGATAATTTTCAGGTTGGAAATAAGTTATAATATTATTTATAAATTCATTTCAATTATTATATACATGATGTCTTATACCTAATATAATAATGTTTTGAAGAATAAAGAATTTTCTCTAACAAAAACTAATAAAAGGTTATGTAATTATCATGCTATTTCCAATAATTCTACTTGATCAATTATAACAAATTACAGAGTTAGAGAAGAAGGTTAACTTAGAAATGAATTCTTTATTATAATGGGATTTTTATAATACCAAGTTAGTTTGTGACTTAGCAAGGTGTATGTGTAAAAGATTCAAAGTCAATAAATTATACGAAGACTTTATTTTAATATTAACTTTATTAAAATAAATACAAGAAATATAAGAAATGGATAAGATATATAAT